TTCCCACTTTTGCTGAAGATGACGATGGTAGGTGGTGATGGTGGAGGCAGCAGCGGGCAGGAGGTGCCCGGAGCGGCCGCGCAGCCCAGCCTGGCCCGTCGGGGGCTGTCGGGCTGCCTGGCGGGCCGCCGGCGCTGCAGTGGGATCGGCTCTGATTGCCGTCAACGAATGTCACCGGCAGAAGGAAAAACAAAAGCTGCCTCCAAAGATCGCGGAGTAGAATTTGGCAAGGCTCCTAAAGACACCAATTAGTAAAAGCTAAACCCATTAATGAAGTGGCGGCTCTCTGGTTTCAGCCAGGTGGTGCAGATCAGAGCGCCTGTATCTGCAGCAGAGCTCCGCTTCCCTCCAGCCGGGACCTCACAGCAAACCTCCACATTAATAATACGCTTAATGGATCTCATTAGGGCTGGGGCCTCGAGTCCCGGCCTGGGTGTGGCGGAGATGAGGGGAGCAGGAGGGCAGTGCTCCCCGCGCTGCGTCGGGACGGACCCGGTTCCCTGGAGGGGCGATGGACGGCGGGGCCGCTGCTCCCTCCGCGGGTCCTGAGCTCGTGGGTCTGCACGAACTGCGTTTATAGGCGGTTCTTTCCCAGATAAGCGAGACTTTGGCATCGCCTCACCGGGCTCGCCAACCCACAAGCCACACACGTCCCCTTATAATCAGAGCCACCTCTGCCCGCAGAGCCACGAGCATCCGCCGCGGCCGGGCGGGCTGCGGAGGGCGGCGGTGCTCCCGCAGCGCGCCCCCGAGCCGGGGCTGTGAAAGGGAGGGAAATGGGCTTCTGCAAATTGATTTAAAAAGAAAAGCGCCCGAACCACACCTCTGTAAAAAGGGACCAGGGAAAAGGGACGAAATATTTCCGCTTCATCTGGGGAAAAACATAAGAAGAGAGGGAGGAAAAAGGAAAACCGAAGTAGTATAAACCTGGCCGAAGTGAGCTAGCATATTTAGCTAATGGAGGTGGACTATGAAAAGAGACCTCATATTTCTCTCCGAGGAGTCTCTCCAGGTCCGCAGCCGAGAATACACACAGCAAACCTTGTGCCTGAATTATAGCTGAGGCTTTGCTTTATTTGAATTCACTGGTGTTTATTTAAGAAAGTGAATAAAGGTTTTGTGTAAACAGCCATTATTTCTGATGAGCGCTCAACAGCAATAAGAAGGGGGTGGTTTTTTTAGTCGAGATTGTGGCAAAAGTTGACATTTTGGAGATTGCAGTTTGTCTTGCCGACGCCAGGCAGTCCCGAAGCATGAACTGCAGGGAAAGCTGTGTGTGCCTGCGAGTGTGAAACGGCGATATCGAGCGAACTGGGGTCTGAAAACAATTATTTTTTAAAACATCATCTTAAGCCCGACATTAAAATAAAATAAAAATATTTTCCTAAGGAGCGGGCCGGTCTCGCTCTGCTAACGAGGGAGGCGATCTCAGGTTTCGCTGCCGCCGGCTCCGCTCCCACGGGGCTCTGGGGGAGAAGCACCCAGGCGGGGGGACTGCGGCAGGCACCCCGTCCTCGCCAGGCAGGACAGCGGCGGACCCCGATGCCAGTTCCTCACCCGGCCCTTTTGCACCGTGTATCTCTTAATTAAAATATTGCTTCTGTTTTGTTGTATTATTGGTTTGGGATGTTTTTCTTCTAATGTGGTTGTTATTTCTGAAATTGACTCGGGTCTCTGGAGCTGGGAGGTCTCTGGTAAGAAATCTGACGAAAAGAAAAGTATCTCATTGGGCTTCCTAACACAGCGCCCGGGAAAGGTGGGGTTATCGGTAAAGCTGCTCCCCGGGAAGAAGGCTGGCCGGATCTGGCTCTGATCATCCCGGCTGCGCATCTCTGGGAGTGTGGATGCCCCCAGACAGGGCTGGGATAACGGAGCCGCACGGCGAGGCCTCCCGCCTCTGTATTAATCCGATTTCCCATACATGCCAGGCAGAAGGAGGCAGGAAAACCTCCGTCCTCCGTGCGGCAGCGTGTATCGCTCCTGCTTCTTGGTCTCTGGTACGGCTTTTCATTTGAACTCAGAGAGAAAAATCTCTGCGGGGCGTCCGCGTGGGGAAGCGAAGCAACGAAGAGAGTTTGTGCGATGAGTCTGCCCTGACCGGGACCGCGGGGACCATGGCAGCGCTGGGAAAGACCCTGCCTGCCCCTCCGCGGGGACCCCGACCCCACTGCGACACCCCGCCGTCACCCGGCCGCAATGCTGCGGGCAGGGGGAGCCCGAAGGGGTTGCGGTGCCCGGCACAGACCTGGAAAGAGTCACAGCGGATATAGGGGAGGTGAAGAGACTGCCACGAAAGCTGCTGCCCCCGACTGAAACACCGTCGGGGATTTTCGGGTCAGCAGTAAAACAGTGGGCTCGGGTGTCTATAGTTCAGAGACAACCAGCATCAAAAGCCTTTCGTATTACCTGGCCATAACAAGCAAAAGAAATAGAGATCCCCCCAAGCTTTCTTTGACCTGTTCTGGGAGCGGAGGTGTTGCATTGCACTACGGACATGTCGCCTTCGCCAGCCAACGGCGCTGGGGCTGTCTGCGATCACGACATTGTCCCTATTTTTTCCCGCAGAAATGGAGCTGTAACTGCAGCTTCGCGGGACGGGGAAAACTTCCTTCCCTGAAGAGACGGACACAAATCCCTCCATGGGCGCATCTTTCCCCAAACGCCTTTTCCTGGCTTTGCTGTACCTGCACGTGCACAGCAGGAGCAAATTGGAGAGACATGTAATTAATTTTCCCTGTAGCCGGGGGAGAGGAAGAAACCCATCCTCCCGCTCCGCCACTTGGCCCCTTGGCCCGAACAGCACCCGAGGTGCACGGAGCACAGAAAGCGGGCACAGGACGAAGGAATTTTGTCCCATCTCTTCCCTTCCTATCTGAGCATCTGTACCTAAAGCTCGAGTCCCAACAGCATTCTTTCCCCCTCTTTTTTTTTTTTTTTCTCCCCGTGTTATCTTAAAATTCTGCAATAAAGGCATTGCCTCGCTCTCTCCCCGACCCCAAATCCAGGCGGGCGTTGCTCCCGTTATTTGGGGAGCCCGAGGTGGAGAGAGCCTGGCCTCACGCAGCCAGCCCTGCACTGGAGGAGATGCAGATTCCTTTGACCCAAGAGAAGAGAAACTCTTTCCCGACGCGCTTTTCTTTTCTCATCTGACAAGAGCCGCTCCAAAACCCTCTCTCCTGCACTAGTCTTCAGGAAGCAAACTCAAGAGACAAACAAATTCCTGCGGTTCCGTGAGCCACACCACGGTGGTTTATCGGAGGAGAAACAGTCGTGTTTCGCTGGGCATCTGTCCCGCGGCCTCCCTTGCATTTAGGGGAGTTCCAGCATCATGGCAAATCCCGCGCTGATGGGCGCAGCCGCTTTCTGTGGCTGAAAGTGAACTGCAGGGCCCACACCGCGCCCCGATTAACCGTGACACCCCCTCCTTTACTGCCTGGCAAGGTTTTAAAGGCAGAACATTAATTTACAAAGCCCTTCCAAGTAATTTCTTCCCCCGTCCCACTTCTCTGCCCCAAGAGGGGTCGGTCAGGGACGGTGCCCCTGGAGCGCTACACCGCGCGGGCGCCACGGGCGTCCAGGAATGCACCAGAACTTTGTGCGCGCCCTGCCTGGAGACCACCCTGCCTGTGGCGGCTCTGACGGAGCCTCTGACCTCTCGGTTATACGTGTTTTTACCAATTCACCCATCCCTTCTTCGTCCCGCAAGATGTCTCTTGGTCTGCTCTATGCCCCAGGTCCTTCTCCCCAGGGCTTCTGGTGGGGAAATTCTGTGGGTGTTTCTTTCCCATTCCTCGGGGATTTGCTCTCGCTAACAAGGGCGGCCCCCAAGGAGAGTGTCCCTCCCGGAAAACCCCCCTGGTCCCGAAGGATTTCTCGCCTGAGCCTTCAGAGAAGCAGCGGGCGAAGGCCAAACGTGAACCCGCCTCCACATCTCTAGAGGACACCGGCATTCTCTCGGTCTTTAACTTTATCCCTCTGTCTCCCATTTCTTTCTAGGGATGTCCTAGGTTCAGTGCCCATCGGCCGAGCTTGTGGGGCAGAAGGAGGGCGGCTCGGCCTCTCCCGCCCTTCCCCTGCCTCCGTGAGCAGCATCCCACCTTCGTGGATTTCTGTGCCGGGGCAAAAAACTCTCTCCCCAGAGGGGAGCACAGGGGCTGCTCACCACCGCTGCTTTCGCTCTAATCCGTGCTGCTTGGCAAGGGAGGAGGGGTAAGCAGGCTGCCTCAGAAACGGTTCCCGTCCTCTCTCGTGGCCCGAGAGGAACGGAGCGCGGAGTAGCGCGGCGCTTCATATTTTTCTCAGGGCGAAGCTAACTCTGAACCCGAGCGGAGCAGTCGGATCCCGGCCTGGACTCCGGGGAGTCCCGGTGGAGCCGCCAGGCCGCACGCACCGGGGAGGGCACCCAGCCCCAGCGGCACCCACAGGAATAGGGGGAGAATCCGCCGTGTGTCCCCCGCACCCCAGTGTCACCCTACCCCCATGGCACCATCCGTCTCTTGGCCGCGCACAGCGCCTGTGGGGCGTCACAGCGCGGCCCCGGAGCCGCACACCGCGCTGTGACCTCCCGGGGGCTCGCGGAGGAGCGCGCTGCGAGCCGGAGCGACAGCAGAGCACGGCACAGCGAAGCGAAGCAAAACAAATCAAACACGTCGTGTGCCCCCTGCGCCGCAAAACTGCCCCGCCGGCTCCTGGCAGCAGCGCCAGGAGTCGCGGTCGGTCGGACAGCCCAGCCCTGCCTGGCATCCGTAATCAAAAGCCACCTCACACGGCATAGGAACACGCGGGGCTACGAATGCCGCTGGTGACTTTCTCATCGGGGGCACAACTTTGCGTCATCAAATCCAGTCCTTGTTACTGCCTTCATTAGAAGGAAAAGAAAAAAAAAGAGAAGGCTGCCTGGCGAGGAGATGAGAGGCAGCTGCTGCCTTCGAGCGGGTGAAGGAAGCTGGGGCAGCCACGCCAGCCCTCGCCCCTGGTCAAAAGACTGACGTGGCTACAAACCATAGCAAACATTTTATTTACAGGAATTTTATATATATATATATTTATATTTATATATTTTGTCAGTGCAGTATTTCTTGGCCGGATTATTCGAAGCAACAAGTTGCAACCAATGAGGACGTTGACAAAATACTTCACATTGTAAATTGGTTGGGGGGTGGGGCGGGGAAAGGTGGGGATTTCTGAGAGCGTTCTCGCAGTCCCTCGCTCGGATTTCCCTTGGAGAGAACGATGGGCGGGAAACGGAGAATTAAAATTAAAAAAAAAAAAGGGGGAAAAAGGGAAAAATTCCCGGTCTCCTGCGAGCAGCTCTGAGTGAAAGGCGGCCGCCTCACGCTCCGCCGCCGCAGGGCTGGGGCTCCCCGCTCCGCCTGCATCCTCGCCCCGGGCCGGGCCGGGCGCTGGCCACAGGCGGGAGCGGGCCGGGGCCGGTGCTGGGCCGGACTTGCCGCGCCCCAGGGCGGGGGAAGGGAGATAAATTAGCGAACAGGTCCCGGGCTACCCCGACTATAGACCGCTCCGCGGCTCGGGGCTGGTGGCGGCGGGCGGGGGGGAAGGCAGGCCGGGGCTGCCGGAGGACTTGCCCAGCCCGGCGGCGGGCAGGCTCCGCTCGGCTCCCTCAGTCCGTTCCGTGTCGCTGGGGGCCATGTCGAGGGACTCAGCGTCGCTGCTGTCGCTGTCGCCGTCGGAGCGGCTGGGGCTGCGCTCGGGCTCCCCGGGGGCGGCGGGCGGTGCGCCGGCTCTCTGGGCCGCCGGCTCCGGCTCCGGCGGCGGCTCCTTGTCCTTCTGGGCCTGCGCTTCCTTGGAGTGCCGCCACTTCATCCGCCGGTTCTGGAACCACACCTTCACCTGCGGCCGCGCCGCCCTTAGACGGGCGGCACGGCCCCAGCGCGCCCCGCGCAGCGCCCGGCCCCGAGCCCTTCCACCGGCACCGGCAGCGCGGGAAGATGAGGAGGCGCCGTCCTCCCTCTCGCTGCCCACATCCTTACGCGACTAAAGGGTTTTTTTTGTTGTTGTTTTTTCCTCCTTCTAGTTTGTGTATTTAAATACTGCACACACCCCACCCCGTTTATATGTTTGTTTGTTTGTATTTTTTTTCCCTCTTTCCTTCTACTTCTTCTTCCAGGACACCAAATCTTGCTCAAGAAACCACAGCGTTATACAATTCTGTGCACTGCGGGCCTCAATAGTGGAATCATTACAGAGTGGCGTTTAATGCTTCCGTTTGAGGAAATGTTTTCACTTCCTCAGAACGAAGGATTTCACAACGCAAGGAAAGATTTAGAAAAAAAAAAAGAAAATAAAAATTTTAAAAAGGGACATTAAGAATAGTGTTTTTGCTTCTACTTCCTTTGCCCTAAACTGCCTCCTACAGCAAACTGCACTGCAGTAAAGCGCACATTGATGGCTTGCCCTGGCTCCGCTCATCTCTCCGCCCGGCCTGCTCCTCGGTGGCCAAAACAATGGCGAAAATTCTGCACCGGGCCGCGGTACACCATGGAACCTGGGCGCAAGAGATGCTCGGGGCAAGGTGCAGATCTTCACACAGGCTTCCCACTCATGATAAAGGAAGGGAAATCACCTTGAAATTTCACTGCCCTCTGGTATTCATCTAAACTGGAAGTAAGGTTTGAAATAAAACCGAAGCCGTTCTTACTTGAGCATCTGTCAGCCCCAGCATCGCCGCCAGTTGCTTCCTGTCCGGTTTGGTGACATACTTCTGGATTTCGAACCGTTTTTCTAAACCTTTCCTCTGCAGGTTGGAAAAAACAGCCCTGGACCAGGAGCGTTTTCTCTTGTACGTCTGGGGCAGAGTGTCCTTGGTTAGAACTGCGTACGGACCTGGGGAAGGGAAGAGAAAAGTGGGGGAAGAGAGGGGGAGATGGTGTTGTTAATATTGCAGCCTGAAAGTTAGCCTTAAATCTGTCTGAATAAGAGCTGGAGTGTGGTGTGCAGGGAGGGCCCGGACCAGCGTGGCCCTGCCTGCCCGAATGGTACGTGTCCTGTCAGCTTGTGCTGCCTCGGGCGCGAGTGGAGCTGTGTGGAACCCGAATTTCTTCCTCTCCCACCACCCCGCTTCTTCTCTCTCGGCCCAGGTTATTCCTGTACTCGATGGGACGGTCCTCTAGATCAGGCCCTAGCTAGGCAGCTCTTCCTCCCCCCCATGCAGCCCGGCTTTCGCCCAAAATCTGAACCTTGCTACACACACCCCGGCCTTGCAAAATTGCCTGGCGATTCCCTTCGGGAGGAAGGGGGTTGCTCCAGGACGTAGGGTCCCGTGCCACGGGAGGGTAGAGGAGGGACGAGATGTACCTGGAAAAGTGTCTTGAAACTGGTGCTGCACTGAGCTCCTTGGGTTTGTGTTTAAGGGACCCAGGATAGCAGAGGCCTCGTTAATGGGGTCTAGAGACGCGAAGAACTGGCCGGCGGAAGGCTGCAAGTTGGGGAGATGAACCCCAGTTTGGCGGCTCGTAGTTAATAAGGAGGTCAGATCTGCGAGCACAGGAACAAGGAGAGCTCTGTTATACCGCGGTCGAGACCGACAACCCGGCATGACTCGGAGCGGGTGCCCGGTCGGAGGGGCTCCAAGCAGCCATCTCCCGCCCCCAAGGGCTCTCCTCCGTGCCCCGGCAGTGAGACATCCTCCGAGATATTTACTCCCTTGGTCAGGATGTTTACAGGCCGCGAGGGGAGATGGATTGCAGCGAAAGCCTTTAACATGGGCTGTGCCCTGGGAGGCAGAAATCCCCGGCCGTTCCGGGAAGCGCGGAGCGCTCCTCTCGCTACTTTCACGCTATCGCTATTTTCCCAGGGGCGCAAGCCCTGCGCCCCAGCTCTGCCGTGCGGAGGCCGGGACGGGGAGGAGGGGCGGGGGGGGAAGGTCAGTGAGCTCAGAGCTGTTAGAAACATTGATTTATAACGCGCTTTTTTTAAAATAATTATTTTCTCGCCTAGATTGAAAAGTTTTCAAATCGCGGGTGTAGTCGTTAATTACAGCGCAAGTAACAGCATCGACAGCGTTAGCAGGGAAAGCGGACAATCTAATTTCTCTACCTCTCAGCGTGTTGCCTTCCTTGACTTTGGGGTCAAACTCTGCCGATAAAATGCGGTCGATGCCGAATTTCAGGTCCTTGCTAGCGGGCGCCGGCGCCGAGCTGTGCGTGTGGCCGCCGGGCAGCCGGGCGGGGACCGGGGCGCCTCCGGCTCCCGCCGCCGCCGCCGCGGGGGACCGGTGCTGCGTGGGGCGGTGGTGGTGGGAGTGGTAGGCGGCGGAGAGCGGCGAGAGGCGCGGCGGGAAGGCGGCGGCGGCGGTGGGGGCGTCGGGGGCCACGACAGGCGTGGGCCGGAGCGGCGAGGCCGTGGCGTGGAAGGGACCACCGTGGTGCACGGCTCCCAGCGCGGCCGGCATCCCGCTGCCGGGCCCTCCGGGCAGGCTGTCGGCGGCTCCGGCCTCGCCGCCGGCGTGGAGGATGTCGGCGATGCAGAAGGACGGCTTCTTCGCCGCCGCGGCGTCCAGTGGGAAGCAGCCGCTGGCCGCCGGCCCCGATGCGGAGCAATACGCCGCTGACCACAAACTGAAGTTGGAGGCGTAGAAAGGAGCCAGCCCGGCCGTGTACATCCTGCCCGAGGAGGGGATGTGCCGCTCCGCAGCTCAGCTCCCGGGTGTGCGCCGCGGAGCTGCCCGCGGCCCCGGGCGCATGGGGAGGGATGGCAGGGCGAGAGGCGGCTGGTGGAGCACTTCTCGAAGGGACAAAGAGGGAGAGCCAACCACCAAAAAATGACGAAAATAAAACGAAAAAATTAACCCCGAAAATTAAAAAGTCCCCAGAACCCACGGCCGGACGAAGAAACAGAGCGGGCGAGGAGCGGAGCGAAGCAAACAAAACAAACCCAAACCAAACCCCCTTTCCTCGCACTGGGGGAAGAAAAAAACATCCACCCCTCCCCAAAACTTTCTCTGGCAGCGAGCAACCCTCGCTCCCTCCCCACGCCCAATCCGCGATCCGCGGGGCCGGGCAGCACCGCCCGCCGACACGCCCACGCAGAGCCGGGGCCGGGTTCCGCCACCGCGCCCACAGCGCCCGCTGTGTGGCCCCGGACCCGCGATTCGGAGAGGTTTGCCCCACGAAGTACACCCCTGCACACACCTATACCCCCTGAAATTGCGCTCCGGACTTTGAAAAACCACTTTTTCCCTTTCCGCCCGCCCCAAAAAACAAATACAGCGCAGGGTCGCCGCGCGTACTGCCGCCACGATTTCCAAACGTTTGAAAGAAACGCGCGGGGAAATTCTTGGCTATTGGAAGCAAGCCTGTCCTCTTGGAAACGATTCTCAAGGAAATTTGTTTCCTTCCCGGATAAATGAGCCTGGGATAGTCTGGAAGAGAAGGAGTCCGTGCTGATGCATGCAATATATGCATTTATGAGAGCTCCCAGACATTCTGGGCCCAGAACACGTTGGCTCCTACATTAGCAGAGATTAATTACCTAGTATTGTTTTGACGACAGTGTAATTTTAGGATATATTTTTGTCAGGTTCTCCATCCCGGTAGCTCCATCTGCTTGCACACCAATTACACCTTAAAAATTACTTAAGAATTCCTCAAACCTTTGACGGCAGAACTATCCCCACTTTCTCCAGTACACCAGAATCATATGTTATATTCATTGCAATGATTTAGGGACAAATCTATGAAAACATCTTTGGCACATTTTTGTTCCGTCCTCTGTAACATCGCATTTGTCCTGACCTGACTCTGAAAATCAACTATTTCTTTATTTTTAGTTTTCGTACAAGTAAAGCAGTCACTGTCATTTTGAGCAGTCTGCCGGGCTGGACGATTGTAAGTTTGCTTTGATTTTGTTTCAGAAAGATAATATTATTTTTTCCAAAGCATTTCCCAAATTCTGACGGGTTGGGGAGAACCGCCAGAAAGGCGAACTATTTTTCTTTCGCCAGGTATGAAGATGTAGCTTCTGTGGGAATATTGAAACCACCTGCGAGTGAGAGTGAACATGTTCTTTAGCCATAACTGTGTGCTATAACGGGTGAAGGTGAGGCTGGCTCCCCGGGAAGAGCCAGGCACCTCTTTGCTTTGGTTTGGTTCTTACTAACGAGAAAAAAACCCCGAAAAATGAAGAGGGGCTGGCTTGCCAAAATGTGTCCGAAACCCGAAGGCGTTGATTATGTTTCAGCTATTCCTGCCTCGACATCGGAAAGCCCCGTTTCCTTGCATCTCTTCCCCCCTTCTCCCTCAGGGCAGCTGACCCCAGCAACATCCTCTTGCTCTCAAACCGAATCGAACGACTTCGGTTCCATTCATGTTCCCACCGCCGGGCAGAACCACCCCGCCAGCCCACCCGAGGGACAGGCAACGAAGTGTGCATTGGGCGCTGCATCCCGGCCGCAAACCGTCTCGTTAAATTATTGCTGCAATTACCACTGCTACCCCGGAGCATTGCACCGGCCCGTGGCTGCTCACCAGGCAGTCAAGGCGAAGAAAAAAAAACCAAACCAAACCAACCAAACAAACAAACAACAACAAAACCCCCCCCCGCAAAATTAAAAAAAAACTCAAAAAACCCCAAACGCAGTGGGATTTTTTTGGTCGTTTGTTTGATTTTTTGGGGTTTTTTTGTTTGTTTTGTTTTGTTTTGGGTTTTTTGTTTTGTTTTGGTTTTGTTTTTTTTTTTTTTTTTTAGGATGTGATTTCAAAACTCCTCTCGCCTCGCTGCCGTGCAGGGCCCGTGGATGAACAGCATCGGCGGGACGGGCCCGTTTGCGGGCACGCCGGATAGACCAGACCCGGGTACGGCCGCGGCTCCCCTGCCTCGGTGCCGCCGGTGACCGGGACCCCGCTGTCATCCCGCGGGCACTAAAATAACTCGAAAGGAAACGCTGAACACCTCGCACTAAAGCCCTTCACACCCGGGCTGCGCCTCGGGAGGGAGAGGGAACCGGGGAGTCCTGGCCGCGGGGGCAGGTTCTTTCCCGGAGCTCGGCTGCGCTGCGCACCCGCGCATCCTTCGCGGCCGAAACCAGGAGCACCTGCCTCACCCCCCGATCTCCCACTCTTCCTGGGGACAAAGGTGTCCTTTCTCTCCAAAGACCTCCGCGGGCCTCCCTGTCTGCCCGGGGAGGCGCAGGGCTGCGCGGCCGCGCTGCCAGGGGAGGCAGCGGCCCCTCCTCCCCGTGCAAGGAGGGAGAAGGCTGCAGGAAACCCGGGGCTCTCTGCAGTCCAGGTCATCTCCTGTTTTTTGAGAGGTTCCAACTCGGACTAAATGAGCGGATGTGCCTGCGAGGTTTGTCCCAAAATAGAAGCGGGTTTAGTATTTTAGGATACAGCAGAAATCCTTATTTCTTCCGGAGAAAAACTTCATAATGAGCGCGAGCACTTCCCTTTTCAATATTTGTGCAACTTTATCTCGACCAGCAAGTTGCTTTGGTGACGCAAATCCGCCCTTGTGTATTGCAACTACAAAAATAAATGCAAGGAAATCAATTCCCTTCCAGCAATGAAAACATAAATATACAGCTGCGACTTTCCCCTTTAATCTTGCTTTCCGAGGGACTCGAGAAGGAGGAGAATGAACTGTGCGGCAGAAGCGATAAAACCTTCCAATTTTAAAAAAACCCTCTGAATTTGTTTGAAATGCAACCTTGAGATCCACTGACAGTCTGTTTTTTTTTTTTTTTTCTTTTTTTTTTAAGAATGGAGTCTCGAAGCACTTTTTTTCTTCTTCCTCGAGGCCGACAAAGGAGCTGGGAAAAAAAATGATTCGTGTTCTTATTAGGGGAAAATAGAAGGACTAAGCCGAGGCTCTGCAGCTCCCCCGTCCCTACTCGAGGGTACGGAACCGGGAGCACCCCGGAAAGGGCCGGGCGCTGCCTGCCAGCTTCCCGCGGGGAAGGCCGGACAGCCCTTTCGGCCAAATGTCTGCCCCGTCCAGCTGCCCGGCGAGCTGCGGGCAGGTCGATCCCACGGATCCCGCCGGGATGCTGGCAGCCCGAGTTCCCGGCCGCCTCTCCCGAGCCCCGAACGGTGCCCGGGCCTGACGCAGCCTGTTCACCCCACTGAGGGCTCGGGGCTCCCCGTCACAGCAGGCAACGCTCGGCGGCCAGCCGCGGAGGATGCGGAGCCAGGTTTGCCCCTCCGAGCCAGCCCAGGATGCTGGCAGGGTGGCCTCCAGCCCTCCTTCTCCTGAGGCCTGCGCCTTGCCTGTTGGATTTTAGGCTTCTGTACATGCTCTGATTGTTCCTATGTTTGTACCTAGAAACTGGGAGAGTATTTTTTAAAATAAATATTTAATCCTCACGGGAATCCCTCCAGGAAGAAGGTTCGCTCGGGTGGCATTAGCACCCTTGCCCGCGCGTCCCGTGGAGCCGCCCCCCGCCCCTCCCGCGCTGCGCAGCGCCGGGCACCCCCCAAAGCCCGTGCTCTGTCGCCACCTGCTGAGTCCCTGGGACGGGGCTTCCCCACCCTTCCAAAACCTCCCATTTCCCACTCCGAGGGCCGCGCGAGCAGGGGGCGACCACGTTTGGGTGAGCCCCTCTCGCCGGACCCACCCCGGGCTGGGGCTGCAGGGTGGGCAGGGGCGCAGTGCAGGAGTCGGGGGATTCCGGGGCCTGCCGCCCGTGCTTCTCCCGCACCTCCTCAGGATGCGGGGAGCGCTGCAGCAGGGCCGCCCCCCTGACGGCGGGCAGGGATCCGCGGCTGGAAGCGGCGGCATCCGCCGCCGGGAGGCTGGAGGGTCTTCCCCCAGCTGAGCACAACTCATTATCTGAAAGACTCAACAGCAGCGCAGGCAGGAACTGCCCAGAACCGCAAGCGAACCCAGAGACTGAGCTGGTCAAACCCTTGGCGTTTCCTTTCCATTGTTTCACGCATTGTTTAGTTGAATACCTGTGTCAGTAAGTCACGACTAATGTTATGTCATCTACTGAGCAGCCGTGGAAGGCATTGGAAAGCAGGTGAGATCTGGGTTTCCGTGCAGAAGGGCAGGATTTCAAGCCACCTGCGGGTGTACTTCAACTGCTGTTTGAATTCAAATCAGTGTGCTTTTGGAGGGCAGTGCCTGATCCTCCTCACCTGCAGCTTTGTAACAAAGAGAGGTTGGGGTGCACACCCAGGAATCCTAGATGGGAATTGAGTCCACAAGGCATGCTAAAATTGCTCTGAAGCAAGATTCCTTTGAAATGTCTATGCTGTAGTTGTCTGAAAACTCCACAGGGTTTTCTGCATGTGAGCAATCCCAAGAACCGTCCATATGTTCCAGCAGAGTAGGTCCCATTGAACGGGTCCATATGTGAGAGCAGATCAAAGCCTGAAGCTCCCCACTCCAGGGACAGCAGACCAGCCACTGATCTGGAGACTTGTTCTCACACTTGAACACTTGCATGCTGTGGCTTTCAACTGCTGAAGCTGCTGTTTTCTGAGGAAACACATTAGAGCATGGGAAGCTGAGGGGTTTCACATAGTCCCCCAAATGCTTGTAATGCCTCAAGTCCCTTCCGAGAGGGGATCTGAAAACACTGATTTATCTCTGCTCTTGAGTGCCTGGCTCATAGATCTGGGATGTGGGAGGGCACTGCATCTTTCCACAGCCATGCACACAAAATAAAGGAATCATCTTTCCTTCTTTTTTTTCCCTTTTTTTCCCCTCTTTTTCTTTTTGTGTGTGTATGTGTGCGTGTGTGTGTGTGTGTGTGTGTGTGAAAAGCTGCAGATTCATAAATCTTTCAGAAGGGTCAGGGTAAAAAATATCAGCTGGAAAGAAATGCCTCTTCACAGGCCCCAGGAAATAAGACAGCATTCTGAGGACTAGCAGGATCAGAACCTTCCTTCTCTACGTTTCCTATGGGTTAGAGCAGGCAGGTTATGCTCACTGTGCTGACTTTTATGAACTCCATTTTTAGACACCTGATGCTGTGCTGGGAGATGGACACTGTGATCCTGCAATGCTGTGATGGTTTAAGCTGCTTGAAGTTACAAATGCCAGTCAGACATTCTCCCTGCATTCCAGTCTGCCTGTTTCTATCCCTGGGGATGTCAAATTAACTCTGCCAGAAAAGTTTTATACTGCCATAATACCCCAAACTAGCTGCTTTATCGTGTGGCCAGCCAAGGTGAGGATGCTGGGGAAACACACATTTGGGGAACAGGCTGGCAGAATTGCTGTGACCTTCTAGTCTGCTTAACCTCTC